AGGGGCTGTTGGAGCTCSCAAAGCATCAGTGGGTCTGGATGACTCCATCCACCTGGGACACAGGGGACAGAGGTGTTGGCATCACCACGGCAGATGGAAATTGCTGCTGCTTCCTGAATCCACAGCAGCTTCCCTCAGATCTTCAGTTTGCTGCAGGCAGGGGACAGGGAAACATCCCCAGCAGCGAGTGAAGCGTTAGAGACTCCTCTGAGCTAACACAGCCTATTTTGCCTGGAGCAAAGGGAGGCACAAAGCAGCAGCGACAGGGCAGCATTGCCCTCCAGAGCTGGATCAGGGGAGCAGGTGCCTGCAGCTCCTCAGCTGAGGCCTCATCTTGAAACAGCCACGCAGGACGACAGGGAGAGTCTCATCCCCGTCTCATCCAACACTGCCAGCGAGAGCAGAAAGGGTTTTTCTCCTCTTGTCCACCCCGATCAAAGCTCTCGTTGCTGCTTTGCAGGAGGAAGGATACAGCAGCAGGAGATGCCTCCTCTCCCACCTGCATGGGCTCGCTCCACATCTTCCTCCAGGGCTTGAATGTGAGTAGCAAGGAGCCTGGAGCGACAGCACAGCGAGTGAGGTGGGTATGAAAGAGCTGTCTGAGATGCATCCCATGGAAAAAAGGAATAAAGGCAGTTGTGGAACTCACCTGAGCAGCAGGAGGAAAATACACAAATGCAAGTCCCGGGAAGAGCAGCTTTAAGGAGGAACAAGAGGGAAAATTACATTTGCAAGCAAAATGTGCCAGGAAAAACTCAGCTWGTCCTTTCCCAGTCCCTGCAAAGCTCAAGCTGACAGTCTGTCAAGAGCAGCTCCGAAGCACAGCCGGGACTGAGGGCTCATAACTGCTGCTGTTTTGATTTGGGCCATGTAGCATCATCCTGATCTTATCCGGCCCCACCTCCACGTAGCAAACAAAAGGAAGAAGACACAGAATACTTATCACAACACAGATTTAATTTCTTAGGCAGTTATAAAATTACAAAGAGCGACGGGCTAGCAGTGAGAGCCAGACACTTGGTGAGGTGGAATGTTAGACAGATTTTTCCACTTATCGACACAGATACCAAACAGTCAGTGAGCACTGCAGGATGCAGGGTTTTCTCCAGGTAAGGAAGCAAATGCAAGAGCAAATAGATCCAGGTAGATCTAGGGCTGAGTCAACGCCCCACAGAAACCCAGAGCTACAGGTTTGGGAAGAACTCCCCACTCCTGAGTCGGACACATGCAGGGTCCCTGCGGCCRCATGGCCAAAGCCACAGCACTGACACCTGTAACGAGCACAAGGGCAGCTGYTTGCAAGCCARAATTACAACTTCCTGCCCGTTATTTTCAAAGCAGTGTAAGATGAGATTTGCCAGTCGGAAGAGCATTAACATGAAGGCATGTCATGATTAGAAAAATAGGAATTTGCTGAATTCCTTTGGTTGTACAACTGGAATCTGAAAGGATTTATTTACAGTCAGAGCCATGCTTTCTTCATTGCAAGCCTTTCACAGCCCAGCAGATTCCAGGAAAAGAAAGGCCTGCTCTGCACATGTGGAGAAGACACTTGGGCCTTGCTCTCAGATATTAACAGGTTAAACAAAGTTGACTGCTAGCCAGGACAGCTGGAGCACAGAACAAAACTTCCCAAACCTCTGCAGTGATTAATCCCCACCAACRCTTTGGACAAAGAGTCCTGTCGCTCTGCAGACAGCAACAGAGCATCTGCACTCACCAGTGGGATACTGCACAGCTCAGCAACCCACAGGGAAAGATTCTACTGTCCTAGTGCATGCTGCTCTGGTGCTAATGCCATTATTGGAGCCAAGAAAGCACAGCATGGGACATAACAGAGAGGGCTGTGCTCGGGCTCAGCGCTAACCCACTCACCCAGGCTKGGGCTCACTGTTCCCTTTTCACTATTCCACACAGGTCAGACGGAGTTTCCTCTGTGCAGATACCTGTCACTGCATTAAAGGTTCTTCTCAGGGATTTATTTGCATTCAGGCAGACTTGAAAAGCCACCACTTCTGTCCTCACCCTCTGTGAAGCACAGAGCCAAGAAACTCGCCGTGCAGGACCCACAGCAGCAAGGCACAAGCACACACCTGATCCCAGAGGAGTGCTCCTGCCAATGTCTTGTTCGACAGGGCATCAGAAAAAACAGCTTTTACCAACCCCTTGATGCTTTCTACTTCCTCCTCCTCCTTCTCTGCCAGGCCCTGCCTTTTAACTGCTAGATTCGTATCTATCACTTGTATTTTGGAAACAGTGACATAAGAAGAGACCAGGGCAGATAAAAKCTTTCTGCCTCAGAACTTGAAATACAGAGTAAACAGATGTCGAGACAGCAGCCGAGGATCTGCACTTGCTGCCCATTTGCACATCAAGAGAAACAGCTCCTTCCCTACGGTACTCACTGGGAACTGATCCCACTGCAAGCTAAGACCTGAGTTTAGGATTCCAAGTTTTTCAGTGTTCCCCCCTCCCCAGCTTTGGTTGTTTCAGTTCTCTGCCCCAACCCTCCACTGAGTTAAAAGCTATCAAGAAGTGCAGCCCGTATGGAGAGACAGAGACAGACTGTACAGAACAAACACTGCCCTTCCAAGGAAGGTCAGTCTAAACTGAGAGGGGCTGCAAAGGTGTTCCCATATGCTGTGACCAGGAGCCCATGGCCACAGCACAGGGCAGAGCATCAGAAAAGAAATGTTTAGACACCACCTGATCCACAGAGAACAACAGTGCAATCACATGCTCCATACTCAGGTGAGGATGCAGCTGCAAACAGCATTTCTGGTTATGTTTAMAGAAAAAAAAAAAAAATACATCTTTGTAACACTGGGATAAACCCCCAACCTGAAAGGCTTCRAACTTTGGTAGCATACCCCAACAGGGTGGTTACTGAGGGGCTAGGGCCATCACAGGGAAATTACATTGGTCATGTTTTATCTGAGAGAAAGTTYATATCTTCATGCAATCAACTTAAGACAAACTTTTATCACCACTCTTAAACACACATCCAGTGGGGACCAGAAACAACTTGTTCCACCCTACTAGCTGGTCACTAATCTCACAACATTAATGTTTTTGCTCTATAAAAAGATTTTCCCAGTTACAACAGCAAGAAGATACTTTAACTGGCTTTCAGCTTCTATTTAAGAGTGAACCAAGAGGGCACAGCAATTCCACGGTGTGTAGCTCAGGAGCAGGAACACACTACAGCATATGAAAGACAAATACACTGAAAATGGGATCTCCAATTCACCTGTGGAAAATAAGGTGTAAAAATTAAGAAGGGGATAAAATCAGTACAATAAATGTTCTCCATTCTTAACAGTAAAGTTAGTAATTACATTTAGGGGTGTAGCATGGCCTTGGTTACTCTCAGTAGTTGTACAAGTTGTGTGCTTAGCAGACCTGTGTTGCTGGTGCATGTTTACTGCTAACTGTGCTTGTGGGGCCTAGGCCAAGCCTCCAAGGATGTTATCAGGAATGTTAACCAGCTTTAGTCTGGAATGAGCAGACACCTCCTGGGTGGTTCAGTGTGCCAGCAAAGCTTATATTTACTTCAAGACTTGTATTTCACTCTGCAGCTTGGAACATCATAGCAAAGTTGAGAGCAGTAAAGCAGAAAACAAATAAATAACTGCAGACCATGGAACTGAGTTGTCAGCCAGACCTTAAAGTCAAGAGACTAAGTGAGCTTTCAGCATGACTCAGAGGTTTGCTGTGAATGTGCTGGGTTCTGGAGAGGACACCACAAGCCACTCCAACCAACTACCTAGGACAGTCAAGAGTTTGCAGTGAATAAACAAGGTTGATCCCTTCTCTCCCACACACACTTGTGTACAAACACCTTCCACTGACACGGACTCACAGCAGCCTTTCTGACAGAGAGCTCTCTTGGCAGGGGCTGCCACCTCCTTCTGTACTTGCAGAGGCAGGAGAAGCCCACCTGCCAACACAGGGCTTTGGGGACAGAGCCCACTGCCTGCTCTTGTTCCAGGGAAGACTCGTTCATGGCACCAAATCCTAAAAGAACATCACTGCCTGGTTGTGGAAGGGAGTTCACACATAGCGGGAACACTCAGCCTCTGTCCTCCTCTCAAGATCTGCAATTTCCTTGCCTCTTTTTATTTTTACTTCTTTGCAAGCAGTGAGTAGAGGGAAAGGAAATCCACATTGCTACACAGAAGGCAAAGCAGGCTCATTTTGGCAAAGGGAAGTAACACTCACCAAGTACTCCACTAATCACCTGCTCARTAACTGTTATCCAAGACTTAAGAGAAGGCACATTACAACCCTAAAAATAGTCTGCAGCACTGCTCAGCCTTGGAAAGCCCTAGACAGTGTCAGGGCAGTTAAGGATTTATTCCAAAACTGAYAAAGAGACAACCAGTCCTTAAATGTATCTTAAGAGGTACTGTGATGAGAGGGGAAAGGAAAAAAAAAACCAGAAAGAAAAGCATTGTTATGCAGTAGAAGAGAACCCAGAAGTAAATGAAATTTTCAAAATCAYTTATATTTACATCAATATCTGAAAAAAAAAAAATCACAAACTTTCACTATTAGAGCAGTACACTCAGGCCCAGACTGAGAAGAAGCAGGAATTGAGAGCCTTCCAGCAGGAAACCTTAAGGCTGTTTATAGAGTGGGGCTGCCAAACTCTACAAGGACTTCCCTCCAGCCTGACAGAATCCTTGCTTCGGATAATCTAAAAAAGTATAAAAAGAGGTTATTGCTACTCTGCCAAGGAAATAGGACAATCTACAGGAAAGAAAGTGCATTCCAAGTCTTTTCTCAAAAACCCACAARGTTGTCAGCCACTACAGGCTACAGACACCCAAGTACCAAAGGTGTACAGACAAGATCCTCTAACAATCCTTCCCTCATTCTACCTTTTCTTCCTGCAGGAGTTCCTTTCCTTCCTTTTAAAGGCACTTTCTATATTCTATATCCTTATGCAGGGAAACACTTCCAGTTTTCCATCCCAACAAACAGAACAGTCCCACAAATACACAACATTCAGAAGGAATTTTAATTAACAAAATGGTCCAGGAAAGGGAAGGGAGAACCCAAAAAAACAGGCCATTGCATTTGAAAGGTTGCATGTCAGTCACTAGGTATGCCTGCAAGCCCATGCACAGGAAACCATTTGGACCTTTGTCAGTGCAGAACTAGTCTCAGCTTCCAGAACCACTTCTCTACTCCTTCCTTATATAGGCTAAATATTATATACATATATAAAAAAAATACAAACTYGAGTTTGTTATAAAGTGGCTTCTCTCTCTCTCCCCCTCCTATGCTTGCTTGGCACATGAAYGCATGCAAAGCTAAGTAGGCTCTGAGGGCTGCACAAACAGCAGGTTTTGGCAACAAAAAAAATAAACACAGCTAAAATAGATAAGCAAGATTAAAAGCCACTGAATTGAAAACCATATATTTTTCCAATTGTATAGAATTAGAACTACAGCTACGACTTAAAACTGTAAGAGTCTGTCATCCTCTCTCCCAACTCATGTCAAAGTTCATAGCAGCATAACACGAGATTCCTCAAGAAACATCAAGCCAGTGTTCTCTGCTTCAGGAGTGAGTTCACAGGTCCAAGTTTAGTCTGTCCGAAGGATCATGGGGGGATGCTCACTGTCTTCGTCCAATCTAAGTGAGTTGGTTTCATCTTCCAGGCAAGTTCCACCCACAGCACCCAGGTCATCCGTATAGGCTGGAGAGAAAGGAACAAGGAGTTGGGGAATCAGCAGCAACAAACTAAGGYTTGGATCCAGAGCGAATGAGTAGAGCTGAAGTACCAGGCATTACTTCAAATAGTTTCACTGCCACCCTATGTCTGCTTTTATCATGACTCCGTTTCATGGCTGTGTTTCTCCAAGCCAAGAGCAGCTCATGATCACAATTAAGCTCCTGTGTTTGTGTGCAGTGTATACTGGTCTTTGTGCAGGCTGATGTTCTCAGTCTCTGCTGATGCAGTGCAGTACAGGTGTGGTATGTRCTGACTTCTCTTTGCAGCGAGGCACTAACCTGGGAGCCAGACRTGGCAAAAGCTCCACTGATTTGGAGAGCTGCAGTGTTAACCAAGTTCTCATTCTCTTGATTTAACAGAGCAGTGAATCAGACTAAAAGGTCRCTGCTCCCATAAAGGAAGAATTGCAGCATTTATCAACCTTTCTTAAAAAAAATTTAAAAAGGAAGAAGGGCTATAATTCAGAGGCTTTGCACAAGGTCTGGGTGCTGAACTGCCTCAAGAATCATGTGGCAAGTACTGAAACTACCACTACAGCAATCAACCACAACTCAAGACAAAATTCTACCCCGAAAGTAGCAAAGACAAGTGWTTCATCTACAGAAAGCTACTGCACAGCACGAGTGCTCTTTCTCCTACTGCTCACCAAGGCTCCACCTCGCACGCATGGTTACGCAAAGCTCGGTGCGGACGTGGACCAGCTCACGCAGCCATCTAGAAGGAAGCAACAGGCAGAGGTGCTCCCTGCCCCATTCCCAGCCTTCTCCTTACCATGCCTGGTGGGTGAGGAAGGCACATATGTACCTTTAGTCACAGCGGCACTGTACGTCTGCGCTACCAGCGGCCGGTCGTGGGATGCAGACTCCAGAATTTCGTTGGCTGGCTCCATGCTGCCATCGAGCCTGYCAGGAAGAGAGGGGTTAGCTGGAGAGGTGACCTACCTGGGCACAAGACAGMTTTAGCTGGCAGCTAGAGGAACCTATTCCATCTGATGTGCAAGAATAATATATAGAGAAATAAAACAGGAGGAACTTGGTCCCTCCATTCCAGAGGCCAGGCAAGAAGGCACCTGACAATGCTTGGTATTTCTCTGAAGACTCATCAGCATCATGTTTGCTTCCAACAAAACATCAAGATCTAAATCCTCGGGGCTTACAGAGACTCAAAAAAAAGACCGCATGATTAAAAAAAACCCATTCCAATCAGCAATACTGTAGGTTGTCTTGAGCTCCATCCACAACAGAAGTGGTTGCTTCATACATAGATACTAGAAAACTCTTCAGAGAAAGTATTAGAGCATTTCAAAGATCAACAACTTGGTAAAAGCTTCCCTCTATGAGGCTTCATCTCTAACCAGAGGTCATGCCTTCAAATGTTCAGGTAAATGTATTATTTCTGACCATAACTGTAGGTTGACCAAAGCTGCAAAATTGAATTATCATAATGAGTTATTATCTTTAATTCTATGATTGATGGAGTAATTTGASTATATTACCCTAGCTTTTCCTGCCAACCCTTATTGAAAAACACAGTGCATTGTCCTATTTCTCTAAGTGCTCTACAGTACTATTACAGAACATCAGCTGCCTGGCCTATATGCAAGGAAGTTTAATAAGGACATCAGCAGAGAGAGAACACAGATAATTTCATAGGCCAGAGTCCCCTCTGTGAAGTCAGAGTAACATCTTTCTCATGTTTGTAACCACTTCATTTATTGATGAAGAGAACGGTGTCACTCGTTTCAAGTTCTTGTTTAAGTAACTCAACTCAAAGTGCCAAGAGGAAACTGGAGCACACAGAGAACAGCGATTGATCCCTCCCTGCACTGGGACAGGGTTAAGTTTCTGCTGGTAAAGTGCTGCTTGGTGTAGTGGATACCTGGAAGGAAGGCTCAGGGGGATTCTGAAGTTACTCATTCATGTCAAAGGTCTGGAATAAGATTAGTTTGAAGAAATGAGCTGTTCTAAGTCAGACTTTTCCAGAACAGAACTAAGTTTAGGAACCAATTGGATTTTGACAAGAAATAAAATACGACAGTTCTCAGCTAACGTGGACTTACTTGTGCTGCTTCATTAGTGTGCACTCGCCTCCCTCCTGGGGGTCTAGGTTGTACATGTAGAGATAGCCATCAGCAGCTCCCACCAGCAAACGAGGGATCTTCTGGATTCTGGAAAAGTTTAGAGGAGAGATTAATAAATAATAGATTATTAAATAACTTAAGAAACCTCACTCTCCTCCCTTCCCATGATTTAGTGGTTGGACTCAATCTTAGRGAGGGTTTTTCCAATCTAAATGATTCTATGACTTTAAGGCATTATTTCCCACACTCTTGCTCCTAGACACAGAGTGCTGTTAACAGTCCAAGCACCCAGGAAAGAACTGTGTGTAAAAAAATTATTGCATAACCACATTTTGGGCTAACAGGATGCCACAGGAGTCAAGCAATTACATATAACTCAGCGAAACAGATTCAGAAGTTACCATCCTGTTACCAAGCTTTGTGCAACCCCCGAGACAAATATTCTAACGGGAAGGATTTACTTATTTGAGAAATGTTACAAAGCTTAATTATTGCTTAAAGGGTGCTTTGAGATCAGAGGAGTGAGAGTASAGACATTAAGTCAATTTAGCATAAAAACTATAAAACCCCCACAAAATAAGTTTACTACTGCTCAGCTTATTGCTTTGGTAGCTGTGCCAAATGGGACCTGCCTTTGAGGAAGACAGCATAAAAGATTAGATTTAGTCCTCAAAATTAACTTTAATGAATGCTACGCTGTTTTAGAGACAAGAATTATATGAACTTGCTTTCAAAGACTTCTTTAATGGTTAGGCAGGATTGCCTAATTTTGCAATTCACTAACAACATACAGCATTACTCCCCATAGCACTAATGGAAACAAATGCCATAAAAGCCYATGGGTCTGTTCTCAATATTCTTGTTTCTAAATTAAAAGACATCTTTAGAAGACATCTTTAAACAACACACAGAAATGGGCTATTCCTATCCAAACATTATGCCCTTTCCTCCTTCAYCCACAGAACTGTGTTAGCTCTGAGATGCTGCTCTTAAACTGGAATGATTGCAGTTGACACACWGCTCTGCTGCAGATGAAATTGTGTTTTAAAGTTGCAGCCTCTCCAGAGCCCAAASAGCCCAGCAGGGTGGGGAGTTCAGGCTCCATTCCTGTACTCACGTGGCAAGTGCACAGATGTTTTTGTGCCCRCAGAAGGGCAGACGGACTGTAGCAAAGGCTCTACCCTGGTTGAACATCTCTGTTACTTGAGAGGGCAGATAGCTCGTTGAGGCCATCAGCACTTTTCCAAAGTAACCTGTCCAGGTTGTAGGCTCTTCCTGAGGTCTACAAGTCAGAAGAGAAAAGTGACCGACTTTGCCTTCACCTTAGAGAGAAAAGTGTGTAAACACTTTAAAACRTTTTAATTTTAAGGTATTAAGCAGCTGTTTGTTTCTCTACAGAAATAACTAACACCCTYGAGAATTCTAACACACTTCATTTGTGCTATAGGACAAAATGTGTCCTCTAATTACCCTCAGCCTGTTATTTAAGCATGTTTGGTTGTAAACTGATACTTCTGCATATAAGACTGCATTTTATAACATTCATTATGCAAGAGTAGAACCTACCAGAAAGTACCATGCTTTAGGATTTTATTAATCYGTTTATCACTAAGCAAATCATTGTTTCCAATAACTTTCACCGAAATGCAATTAAGACTGTCCTCTCACATCATAAATAGGAGCGTTTTACAACTTGGTGCCTTTTAAAGCCCCTTTATGCAGCTGGAAGGCATTGCTGAGATAGCTCTTCCCATAYGAATGTCAGAGGAGGTGAAACAAATGTAACTGAAAATGTTAAAACTGCTCCATATTCCTCTGTGAAGGATGGCCAAGTTCTCTTTGGCAGAAAAACACCTTTTCTACTCAGTGGGAGAAMAGTACACAGCTCAGCTGCAGTTGCTGATTCATAAGTGACTTCTTATGCCCTTTACTTTACAGAAGTGTTCAAAAGAAGTCTGTCCACACTTTTGAGAACTCATCCTGTTGAGCAGAGTCAACTTTTAAGCCTTTTCCTTGAAAAATCTAAGGCRCCTTTGAAACCTACTTTTCTTTCACAGTCTCAAGTTTGAAGATATGCACCGTCTCCGTGTTACTGGATGCAGACAGAAACATGCCATCCATGCTGAAAGCCAATGAACAGATGCTCACACACCTGGGAAAAAAAAGAAAACCGAAGAAAAACATTGAAGTCAAAGTATTTGGCTTAATTAAGCAGATTGCTAAAGTCACCACTACTTTGCAAAGAAGAAAAAAAAATAACCTTCAATAATAAGCATTCTGAATTCTCTGATAATTTCTTGAGGCTATTTAAGCATAAGATTAATGATGCTCAGCTCTGATGTTTGGCAGATATGGGGATCAATTAGCATCCATATGAACTCAGTCTTACCCCTGAATAAAGTACAGTAGAACTACAGAATTACTGCTACCACAAACCACAATACCATTTCACAGTGGCTATCAATGGCCACAGCACTAAAAGGATTTAGAAGAGAGTGAGAATATTAGATGTACTGCTGCCAATTGMCATAGAATACAATATATCCTACAAAAAGTGACCCACTTTAAACAAGTTCCCTCACCAATAAATGTTTAAAAGGCAAGAGGGAGTACGATTCTGACAGGATTGATTTGTGGAATAGCCAAGTCCAAAGGAATGAAATTGGAAAACATTCAAGCTGAAACTGTTATAAGCATACATGCAGGGATGAATGAAGATGAAAACAAGCAAAAAAAATCAGGATGCCAGCTCAATTGCTGAACATACTGGAAATCAACCATAWGGAATGAATGTCAGGTAATTAACCCAGTTGAACTTTACCTCTTCACTCCCCTTCGGAATTCAAAGAGTTTCTGTCCCTCTGGAATGGAAAACACTCTTATTACTGTCCCCTGTAAAGAAAAAAATAAATAAATTATTTTTCATTTCAAGTTCATTCATTGTGTATTAGCTCTAGTGAGCAGAGTACAACCAGAAGCAGCAAACCACTTTGCTGTTAACTCATCGCTGTGATGCACCCCAGATACTACATGAAGTATTTATGGACCTTATTTGTAGGATGTGTTTGAAGAGTAAGAAACAAGAGGTGGGAGATACTAATGTAGAGTACAAGCTGTGCATCAAACCCAGCCCTTCTTATCATATTTGATCATGAAAACGACCACACTAGACAAGTACCATGAGTGCAGTCACTTGGATGTCTTTGTAYCTTTTTCAGATGCAATCAGTTATACCTTTATAGACTCAGCTTATTACTCACAGAGGCTTCAGACTCTCTAATTTATGCACATTACATGAACAATTTGTCATCACATGCCAAAGACTAGCGAGGCACTTCTCTCTATTCTGATTTTAACTGTCTTGCTTTCATTAGGAAGACAGCATCAAAACAAGGCAACTAATTTCTAATAAGTATCCTGCACTAAAGGGAGGAACACTCAGAGGACTGCCCTAATTACAGCCAGATTAAAATGTTTTATTTAAATAACCTTATTATCCAATATTTCACAGCATGGAAATTGTGTCAAATATCATTAACAGATCTTAACTTAGACTTCCCATTGTAACTGTAAGCCTCCTTTTTTGGCACTTGCCCATGGAACTGTGCACACTTGAACTTAAAAAACGACAAATGTGATTTTTATCACTGTTGGCAAGGCAATCCAAAGCTCCCTTACCTTTTCTGAGGCCGTGGCAAGTTTAGTACCACTTGCATCAAATGCCAAAGCAGCCAAGGGACTATCATGAGCTGGGATCATATTGGCAGCTCTCTGCAGTGAATCAATAAAAYAGAACCTTAGAACAGTGCAGGTTAAAAGCTACACGTGTGCAGCTTGAGACTGTGTATTTAACCACATTCAAAGCAAACAGAGCTTCAATATCTTTTTCAGTAACTGCTAAGTACATAAAATTATCACTGAAGCATATGCATGGGGAGTACAAGCAGCAGGAACATAATTCAAATAGAAATAACTCGGTTCCACCCATTTTCCCAATTCTACTCATCAAATCTAGTATTAGCACTTGCATTTTCTTTGCTGACATTCCATGAAGCCCAGCTACAAGAGATGCTGCAAATTGATGCACAGAAACTTAAGTGTTCAGTAATGCCTCTCTGAGCAAGTCAAGTAATTTTCAAAASCTGCCCCTTTAGAGGTGGAAACAGCTTTCAAAGCTTCTTACCAGATTGATGGTGTCAAAGACTTGTACTTCTCCAATAGTTGCACTTCCTGGATARGCCAGGTAGCAGTTATCATTGTTTATTGATAAAGCACACAACCCTAGAAAGGATGCAGAAACAGAATTAGAAACAGGCAAATTCCAAGACTTATGCAGTAAAACTTTCTGATTCTTGAGGGTTTCTGTGCTTGAGGGTCACAAAAATAAACTCAAATTATCAACAGAAATAGAACCAAGGATGAGTAATCTCAGTCAACCTACAATATATTCAACTATTTAGCATAAATTTAATATAAAACTGAAAAGGAAGAATACCAATAGAGTTACAGTAACTGATTAAACAGTAGAACTTCCCATGTCTGCCATGATTCCTAAGACATTAACCTGACAAAGTCCTGAACTATACCAAGTGCTGTCAAAATCCAGTTTTTATCWCTCCTATTTCTTTCTAATATTTCAACAAGTCCACTCCAGGGACCAAAATATTGGGAAGATGCAGTTTAAGGCAGACTCTGCTACTTGTTCTCAGCAGGATCCAACACAYAGGCTTTCAGACAACACTCATCTTTGTTACTTCAAGCTGAAAGCAGAATTAACAACACTACAGTTCCCTGTAGGGAACCTCATGCAGTGACACAGAAAGCACTTTTCAGAGTTGAACTGGATTCTACCATCATAWTTACCTGCAGGATTGGGAGGTGTCTCCCTGATTGTATGTAATACCTTCATGTCTCGTATGTTGTGTATATAAAGAGACTCTTCCAGACATACTATCAGCCTCTAGAAAAGCAAAAGAGGACAAAATGGTGACATGGAAATGGAGTTTATACAGATTTATCAATCCTAAAAAGTTCTGTCCAAAAATGCAGCAGGTACCTTCCAACAGAGAAAAGGCTGTACCTGCCAGATGGGGAGAAGTGTCTGATGGAAGAYACACAAGATCCAGCTCTTGACACAAACACTGCACCTGGTGAYTTGACCGGACCAGTGCACCCCACTTTCTTCCAAACTGAAGTCATTCCCATTGCAGTTCAAGTCAATAAGCCATAAACATTCACTTAATTCTTATTCTGTACCTGCACATATGTATTTGCCCCCACCAAGTGGCCAATTTACATGTAGAAAGATTGGAAATAACTTTCTGCTTTTGCTGAACAAAAAAAGCAGACAAGATTTTTTGACCATTCATAAAGCCTATTACTAATCCATAATCATTTGTGAATGGTGGGTTTTTTTAAACTCTTGTTACGTTCTTCACCATCTCATTTACACTTTGTAATCTACATTTGGATGACTAACTAGACATTACTCATTTAACACTAACTCCTATGCCAGAAATCAAATTACCCACTGTTACTCTCATGAATTCAAACAGTAAACCCCTTCTCTCACACTCAATTTTTTGGGGCAAAGACAGACATTAATATTTTTTCCTTCAGATACCACTCTCTTCAGTTTGAATGAACCAGCTAAAGACAGAGAAGCCTATTTGCTGAAGAGCCTACTAATGATTTAGTCATACAGCAAACTGTTTCCAGGTACTTACAAAACTCACCAGCTGAGTGACGCATTTTTTAGATTTCATGTTTTGAAAAGAATTCAGCAAACAGTATTTAAAAATACAAGAAATTAACAGATAACTTTAAATTTTAAATTTGAAGAGAAATTGTTAGTCTTACTTTCACATTTAGGATGAAAGGATGATTCACACTGGGARGGAAATCAGGAGGTCTCTAGTCCAACCTCCTACTCAAAGCATGCCCAGCTTAGGGCATTTTCCTGATTAAATACATTAACACGGAACCAAAAATACTCAACTAAATATAAATACTGAAGCCATAGAAGTCACAGTTGAATAAGTACAACTAAATTTGAAAAAGCAATTCTGTCACCAAAGGAAGAGACATCAATCAGCAGAGGAAGTGCCAAAATAAGATCCACAACCCCTTTCCCATGTTTTYACCTAGGCAAAATCACTCACCTGTCTATTGAGTTTGACAGCCAAGATGGTGTTGGAGTAACTGTAGTTGCAAATCTCTGTCCCCTTCTTAAAGTGACAAACTTTCAGCTTGCGTGGAGCTTTAAGGCTAACTATGGCCACCAGACTACTGGAGAAGAGCCKCTCCACAATGCACACATCTTCTGTGTCAGCTGAGGGATCACAGGAACGAGGGAAAAATACAGAGGGAGATTTCAGGGAAGAAGAATGATGTACATCAACAGGAAATACTGTCTAAGAAAATCATAAATCATAGATTCAGTCCATGTAAAAATGCAGTCTAATACCACAAACATTCTGCCACAACAGCTCAGAGTCAAGGTGGGACACAGGACAGGCTTTTAAAGCAGAAAATCTACACAGTGAGTGCTGATTTCAAAATATTTCCTCCCCCCAGCCTGAARTGTCACACAGGTTTGTTTCAGAGCAGTGTGTACGCCCTCTGCCCAGAATCCAACAGAAAAAAAATCCCAAAGCTACAAAAYACAGAATTCCAGAATTTCACAATCTTTTTATCTCTGCAGATGTCTAGAAAAGCAAATGTTTTTTTGGCTTTTTGCATACATGTGCTTGGGTTTTGTTTTGTTTTTAAAGCTATACTATGCATGAAAAGCTTTTTGATGACCAAAACCCTTGGCAGAGCCACATACCCTYTCTACGAAGAAAGAAAGGTTATAGCACTCAGAGAATCTGGTAAAACTCATTTGCCACAACACCGCTGCAGCCACCAATTAGCATTTTCACATATACCATCTTTTACCTGACAGGCCCTAAGAGCAATTTGTGCAGGAATCACTGATGCCCAGCATTCATGCAGAGCCATAAAACAGCAGATTTGCCAAGTGTTCTACTCTGGGAGYACTGAAAGCAGAGGAGGAACACAAATCCCTGCGTGAAGAAGGCAGCAGGAGGAAGGAGAGTCCAGGATYTCTGGCAAAGAAACACTTTGATTATAGCACAGCACTGGACTGAGCTGGCAAGAGGCCAAGTTCCACCATCAGTTATCCTGACATCTCTGCCTCACACTCCCATCCCCTGAAGCTCCTCTCCAAAAGCCCCAGGGACACAGTGGACAGTTTTTAAGGCAGGAAGAAGCTGGAGAGAGTTTACCAMGCTCTGCAGTTCTTTMACAGCCACTGGCTACACCTGYCCTTTCAGTAMAGAACCCAAYCAMGACAAGTGACTTGAGTCTTTGGCCTTGATCCATCAAAACAAATTTTTCAGGAGTCAGCTTCTGGATTAGCTCAATGCTTAACACATTCCAAACCATAAAACTGCCAGTAAAAAAAAAACCAAAAAAACCCCAACAACAACCCAAAAGAGCGCCTTTCTGAAGGCTTCTGTTTCGGCCAAGAGAAACATTAAGTAATCAATTTGCATGGTTCCCATCACCAGTGACAGAAATTCCATGAAAAAAGTTCTGTTCAGCATTCTCAGTATATGATGCTGCCATCGGTGTGTGACACATCTGCTTTCAAAGTGCTTTTTCTGGGCAGTTATTTCAAGAAAATGAACACAAAATATTTAATGTTCTACACTTTTTTGTGAGAAACARCCTGCTTATGAAAAAGGAGCAGGTTTACACTATGCGTTTTCAGTACTCCATGCAATATAATTGTCTTTTATCTACATCTTTTATTTAATATGGTACTTTTCCAGAGAAGACATAACAGCTCACAGAGGCTTTGAAAATTCAATTTTCTCATGCAATAGGGATAATGCATTTTAGTAATTACTTTGTTTCCAAGGAATTGTTCTCCATTTTCCTGATACCACACAAAACACATGAAAAAGAAATACAAAAATCTGCTTCATTAAATGTATGCAGAGACTTTGAAATTCAAAGGTCYGTGTTCCTTGAATCAGAGTAGTTACATAAAAGACTCTCAAATATTTTACAGGATGGGTTATCAGCTTTCCATCTAAGCCTGGAGTCCTTCAAAAYGATGACATCCTTTCACAAGAGTCAGAAGACCAGCACACAGAGACCCAAAAGCCACAGTCTGACTGYTCCCTGCTCCAGGGCGAGCACAGTTTCTTTCCCCATCCAGGGACAACAGAATTCAGACACAGCTTCTGGGATTTGTCACCCTCCCAGRCAGGCAGGAGAACTGGTATTTCAGAAGAGGAACAGCAGCAAAGATTCATATGGAAAAAGTGCTGTCCTATACTGCACTGATGGGAAGGCTGGGCACCAGGGAAGGCATACAGCRCTATCAAGAACTCAGCAACCAGACAGAAGAAAAAATTTTCAATAAGCAAAATGCCTCAAAGGTATTGATAATCCTTCAGTCTCACATAAAAAGACTATAATACAGACAGTTACCTTTAGAGAAAAGCTTTGTGATGGGCATTTAATTAAATTCATTTAAAAATAAAGGATGCACCTCTGCTCCTTTGTCTTCCTTTAACAGGAAGAAGAGATAAAATCTCTTCACTGCTGCCAAGTAATTTATGCTTTTTAACAGCAACTATTCAAGAGAGTACCAGGCTATAGTGCCCATCCTACATTCAGCTGACCTGAATTAATCATATGTTTAGCAGCACTAAAGCCCTATAGCAATGYTGTTACTCACAGGTTTTATTTTCTATTAGTATTATCTCCTTTACACTACACAATTGAGCATTGCCAGAAACTCAGATTCGAAACAGAGTAAGAACAAAAAGAACTGCAAAACAAATTAAGTAGCAGCAGTGAGGGGGGAACAAGCAAATACATAACAAGATTAGTTTCATAAACACAAGCATGTAGCATCACAGACAAGAGCTGGTTAGAGCCAGCTAGATTATGATCAGCTGTGCCTTTATTCAGTTTTTAATCCACTGAATATGAAGCATGTCAGAAGCATTCATTAAGCCTTAAAGCACCCTTCTATCTAATGCTTGTTTTTACAGTGGGATCAACTGCACAGGGAGATTTGCAGTCACAGAAGTCAGTGATGGGAGCAGCCAAATCTCTTATCTTTTTTTTTGTTTCTCTCAAACACAAGACAGCTGAGGCATATTCTGCAGTTCAGTTTAAACACCTACACAAGAGCTGACAGATCAGTCTTCCAGAGGAGAGGGAGGGGTCCTTAACAGTGTGCACTCAAAACAACACAAGAAGTCTTTAGACCCACTTAAACTAAATTGGGAAGTGGGAGGCACCACGTTTGGGAGGCCTCAAGATACCTTTCCTTGTGGAAAGGAAGTACCCAATGCACAGGAAGTCCTCCACCCTCATATCAGGTTTTAACAGGCATGGTTTGCAAGTCCAAGAYTGAAAATTATTTGACTCATACAAAGAAAACGAAGGCCTCTCAGWATTTTGATCTGCTTTGAGCCAAGGCTGTCTGGCTTCCACAGGCCGAACCATTGAATTTTCTGAGTAAGAGGACACGGAGTAATGGGTTCAAACTCATAGAGGGGAATTTTAGGTTTGGTATATGGAAGAAATTCTTCCCTGAGAGGGCGGTGAAGCCCTGGCACAGGGTGCCCAGAGAAGCTGTGGCTGCCCCATCCCTGGAAGTATCCAAGGCCAGGTTGGATGGGAGCAACCTGGGATAGGGGAAGGTGTCCCTGCCCATGGCAGGGGGTGGGAACTGGATGATCTTTTAAGGTCCCTTCCAACCCAAAACATTCTACTAAATGCTACCCCATATTCTGYGCTCAGTTTTTATGGACTTAACACTCAGAAAACTGAAATTAGCAAAGAGTTTAAGTCAACGTAACCATCCCAGAATGGTTTGAAGACAAGATTGGAATAAGCAGGTCAAAATCCCAATTCTAGCTGCTTTATCAGTTTATTGCAAGATTTTGAGCAAGGTGCTTTATCCAATCAGTACTTTTTCTCTCAAGGAATACCCAGAGGATGCAGTCCTGCACAGTGCAGTTGACCTCTCAGGATATTTTTCAGTGTCTCCTGTAACAGGAATCATCTTCACTGAGTCTCCTGGGGTGATATCAGGCCAGATACTGTAAGTGCCTGACATACTGCAGAGGTCAGGTACATAAACTCCACGGCAGAAAATGGAATCCAAGCCACTTATTAACCAGCACAACCAGACCATGACTCAAAAAGGAAGATGGAGCTGCAACACAGTTTAACCTGACCACAGGTGCCTAATTTGACCCTCAATTACTTCTCTCCATTGACTGTGTACAGAACCAAGCTGTCATCCCAGGTAATAGGTGATCTGAATCACACCCCATTTCCAAACTTAAGATGCCACAGGGTCAGGTCACTTCAGGAATGGAGTCTCAGGACAACTCTGTCATGGGATCCCACTATAAATGCTGACATCACAGCAATTGGTATCACCTGCTCACACAGAGTTCATAAGAAAGCAAGGATACTCATGCATAGCATTCATTGTTGACTTATTAGCACCTCAAAGAAGGGAAGTCTATGAACTGTTGGCAGAACAGGGGATACCTCCATTTCATCTTAGATCCTACTCAACTGTGATCAGTATTGAGACGTTGTAGGAATCTGAGTCATTCGCCCTTTTGGATGAACAAACCTGCAGCTATCATGTTAAAGAGTAACTTTCTAACAGAAAATATTAGGATTAAAAAAATATATAATTAAGGCTTTGTTTTCTTATTTAATAAAGGCATATTAGTGCCTCCATGCCCCAACAGCCAGTATAAACACCCAAAAGACACTATCTCACATGAGTAGTAAATTATTATTTTTATGCCCAGCTGCTATGCAACCTGGCTAACATATTTAAAATTAGAAAAGCAGAGTTCTCATAGCTACTACCAAATTTCACACCATACCAGCTAAATTTAAATACAGAACACTGATTTATAATTTTACCCTGCCTGCAATCACTGTTTTGTATTTGTGTGATATTTACACTTAAGGTTCCTTTCATTTGAAACAACCTGTGAAAAAATGAAACATGTCTTATTCTTCCCACATTAGGCCAACTGAGGGGATTAAAAAAAAAGAATAAAAGAAAAGAAGATACTCACTGCATTCATAGATCTGCTCTAATTTGTCCACAGAAGAAAGAGAGAAGAATTTGTAGCCTGATTTACTGCCAACTGCAAGGGATCTGCAAAAGAAACAAGCCAGTCAGGAACATGAACTGCATCAGCTCTGATTACCCTTGGAMAGATTCTTACCCTGTTCTAAACCTCCAGCTGGGTTAGCTCAGTAACCAAAGTGATAAACAGTTTGTCCRAAAAAGCCACAATAGACACAGACAGCTTCCTCAACTATGATTAGACCAAACARATTCAGAATCACAGAATTTGGGTGTGGAATTCTGTTTCACATTTATGAAACGAGAGTTCACAGCCCAAAGTAAACCTACTGCCCAATTCTCACCGGTGATTTCTTCACACAGGCTAAAAGCTTTAGTGTGGAGGAAAGATGATGACTTGAATAATGTAATGCAAACCAATTACATCACTGCCTCATCATTAGAGGTGACCTCCAAGACCTTTTAAACTGGGCYGTCTGGGGATTTTTGTTCTTTACAGTGTAACCGTCCCCAAGCATCCCAAAAGAGTTTTCATATTAAAAAAAAAAGTAATTAAAGACTGCCAACTCTAATTTTCTCTGGCTTTATGTGATGATGTTCTAGCACCTCCATTGTTAGGTCTCAGCCTTACAAATATTCATACTGAATCTTTGATCAGAGGCACCCTCGAAAAAGTGCCAGTCACTGATGTTAAACAGATTTAACAATAGCAGAACATTAAAAAATTGACTACAAACCCTTCTTTCCTCCATTACTCAATTTTCACACTTAGCTCACAGACCATTTAATTGCTTTTCCAGCCAGAGTCAAAGGCAGGTCTTAAATTTTAAGCTAGAAAAGCCTTTAGCCTGTCTTGCAGGTCTTTACACATTAAGGCAGCAGACAATGGCTCATTCTTGTTTCCCCTCCTCATGTGGAGGACGATTTTATGCCACAGATAAAGAAAATTAACAGTCAATACAGTTGTACAGAAGTGCATCAATATGCTTATAGTTCATATATTTCTTACTGCCAAGAGACATGGAGGAAAAACTAATTAAATTCCAATAAAATACATTTTGATATACTAAACTGTGGCAAGTCATTCAACACAGGGCTYCAATCCAACCCTGCCAATCAGCCTGCCAAAATGCCTTTCTGAACTCAGCAAGATGRTTCTCTACAATTCAGATGCACTAACAATTAATGCTGCATTTGGAACACAATGCAGATTCCTAGAWTTCATGTTCTTGATATATTTTCTACTCGTGGCTCCAAAATGAGTCTTTTTTAAACTTCAGCATAACCAAAATATTAGAAATTGCTCCTCAAATGATTCACCCTCTGAAATTAAGATCCCAAGCTATAAAATCAACTTCCGTAGGATGGCATGACCTTCTCTTCTAGAAGAAAATACAACTGGCACAATCTGGTTAGGAAATTATATTTGAGAAGGTTTAAACCTTCAAATTAAAATATGCACCACACAGGCAAGAGATTCAATTCCACAGATTCAATAACCAAGATATTAAAAAAGCATATTAGACTTAGAGATAGAGAAGCAATCATAAAACAAAATTTTGTTGCTGTTCCTCTAAGTCACCCTAGAAACACTGAATTTAATTTTCCTTCAGACAAAATCAGTATGTTCAGCAGTCTCTATCTGATTAATCACYAAAGACACTTCAGTGGTTTTACTCAACTACTTTTGTACAACCCAAAGAAAACCCACATTCTGTGAAAAAAACCCACAAAACTCTAATTTGGTAAAACAAAGCAACGATTCAGCTTTTCTTATACCTACTGCTTTCTTCAAAAGAAAGTTTAACAAAGAATGACATTAAAACCGTCACTTTGCAAAGGTAAACAAGCACTCCAGAGTTAAAAATAAATGGAGTCACAAGACTCCTTGCAATATAAACGATCCACAAAAGACACAGGATGATTTCCTCACAGAGAACCCCACAGAGCAACTATTTGTATGACTAGGCAGAACTGATTCCTGTATTGTACTTACAGCTTTAAATACAGAATACTGCTGAATCACTGTTTTACTGACTGGATCACTGAAAGCAGTAAGGAAACCATTCCTCTTGTCCTACAACTATACCTCATTCAAAATGAGCTGCAGGCAATGGCACACAAGAATTGTGTACATGATTATTACAACCATTAGTACAAATCATTAGACTGAGTAGGTCCCAAAATGCAGAAGAACAGAATGGACCTTTCCATCCATGACARCCACTTTTACTTATTTATTTCAGGATCGAGGTGATGGAGTCACAAATTATTTGTTTACACAAAGCAGTTCAAGACAAAATAATTAAAGTCAATGTACAAGTGTAACTGCAAAATAACCCCTTTTTCTCCTGGAACCGCGTCTTGCTTTAGAAGGGTTTGTTTTTCATTGGTTTGTTTTTCTAAAATGTACTCTCAAATTACTTCTTATGAAACTACTGGGAAAAGGTTTTTTATATGTAATAAAAAACCACTAGGCTGAATTATACCAGCATAATCACAGTGATTTAAATCTCCCATCTTCCCCCGCACTGATATTACACTTAAGCCCTTAAGACACMCCACAGCCATCTAAATGGCCAAATCCACAAAACAAGGACCTAGCCAAAATTACCTCATCTCTGAAAAAATGTGMAACCATATGGAGAAGAAATATGATCAATAAGCCATTCAGCTCTTGCTCAGATAGACAGTGGCCAACAAGAAGCCGCTGTGGTTTATTAGAAGCTCCTTTTACAGTGTAGGTGTTATGCTTTATAATCACTGATTTTCAGAAGCTGATGAGACTGGAATTGAAAATAAAATAAATATTCTCTAAAACTGCCTTTTTTTTCTTCTAACATTATGCTATAGGCATGTGGTTTTTAGCTCTATTGTGTGTAGCCTCTATTACACACTTTAGACCCTGAGCTATTTTATCATGAAGGTTTTCTCCTCAGTACAAAATTATCAATACAGCCATGATTTATGGCACTGTGTTTACCCACCTTTTGCAGAGATAATGCTGTAGTCTGATCCAAGACTACGTAAATCTTGATAGTATTTTCAAGAGTGACTGTCATAAATAATTAAAACCAGCCTCATCAAGCAAACAGGGCTGTGAGATTTCACACAGTCATTGGAGGATGCTGACATTCACTCTAAGTGCACTCACCTAAAGTGGGAAATCAGCTGCTTCAATCTCTCTGGCTCTTTAGAAACAAGTTTTTTCAGCTGGGCTAGAATCCTAAGGCTTTCTTTTGTTTCTTTAATATACATAGAGAAGGAAGAAAACCAGTTTTTCCCTTTCCATATCGCAGAKGACCTTAACTATTAATCAGAAATATTCTACATGAATCAGAAAGCTCCTAACAAGGGCAGCTCTCTCAAAGATTAAAATCAATAGCAGCTGCAGCATAAACATGACTCTGAAAGTCATTACTACTTTAAATAACTGGTTAATTAAGCCTACTTTCATTATGATATAGTCTCATTATACTAATGTTCCACCTCATTTCAAAACCAATGTAAATTTCCACAGACAAAACACTTTGGCTTATGATGAAGAGGGGGRAAATAATAATAATAATAATAATAATAATAATAATAATAATAATAATAATAATAATAATAATAATAGAAAAATCAATTAAGACTTAAGAATTGCTAAGGAATTACTAAGGAAATGTACCTTGCTTTATAAACATCTGCTGAAACCAAAGCTCATGGACATGTCTTAATATATCAAAGGTCATTATTTTGGGAAAGAGATAGAGAGCTTCATAGATCCAATATAACTATCAGCAACATTCTGACAAGCCACAGGAGATTTTCCCATTATTCTTGTATTAAAACCCACAAACTTAAAACTGYTACAGGAAAAGGAGACCATGCCTGCTCATCACTTAACACTGTGACAACAGAAAGTCCAAAATTCAAGTAAATATCACTACTCTTGGGCCAAATCCCCATCCAAATGGTCACACACTGAGGAACAGTTCCTCTGGCCAGCCCCCCTCAGCTGCTGTGCCCTCTGCAACAACAGCAAGAAACACAACATACGGTTGTCTCTCTCAGCTATCCTCCCTGAGTGTAGGAGCTACGTGACCGCTCTGTCCTTCCTTTTTTTGGTCTGTGTTTAGCTTTAAAGTCTCCTTGGAATAGAGAGCTCTCCTGTCCTCAAGGATCACGGGTGAAGGACACCTGAACCTAGGAGAAACAAAGGCAGAGGAATGAATGCTCAGCACCTAACCCTTGTTCCTCCCACCACAAGCCATTTACTACAGAGATCCAAACATCAAAGAATAAGGGGATGAGAATACAACTTCTGGGACACAAAGCATGCTGGATGTATATAGAGACAGCAGCATCTGCTCACAGTATAGAATGAAATTGATTTATTTGGGAAATAAAGGGAAGAATTAAACTGGAAAGAAGAAATATATGGACTGACATGTGTCATGTGTAACTCCACACAAACAAAAGCAAAGCCTGAAGAAGGCCTTGACAAAAAGGCATATGCCAGTGTTTTCCTCAAAAGTCCAAACACAGTTTCTTTGTCCCTTTCATCAAAAGTCTGTTTTCAAAACCGCAGTGACTACTACTTTGTTTCCAAACACTGTCACACAACTACTTASTTTTAAAAAAGGTGACAAAAGCTTCTATAGTCTGCCCACTTGCATTATTTCACAAGCAGGTTGTTTGGTGGGGTTATTTTTGGGGGGGAGTGGGTGTGTATTTATAAATTGAATCTGAACACCATTTGTAAATAGTTCCAAAAAATACCTGTGCAGCAGTTCAAAGACTGGAAATTTTATCTATTATATAGATACATACAAGCTCTGGGATCTTGGAAGTTATGCTTTGCTTAAAAAGTCACAAACTTCTAATCCATTAGCATTTCCCTTATGAGTTTTAAAGCTTCTGTGAGTTTGTGAGGTRTTTAATTTTTCATAAACGTATCTGTGCTCAGTTTTAGCAGTTCTCCCAGAAGTAACACAAACTGCACTCGGGTTTTCCTTCCCAAGTATCCATTGTTAAAGATTTACAARCATAAAACCTACCTAGCTCTGAGGCCACCCACAAGATTCCACTGCCTGGTTTTGCTGGGACACCCAAATTCCAATTGGTTGCTCCACTTTGATCTGCAAGCTGGAGCTTCTGCCTCTCCATCAGGGAATGCCAGTTACGCCAAGTTGTGCAATAATAAATTCACTGGGGAAAAGGGCTACATCCAAAACAAGCACACTAACTTCTGAAAATACCCTTCTCTGTGTTTTTACTTAATGAAAACATTATATCAAAGAGAAGCCACAAACCAACCGCTTCTGCTGCATTATAGGTGAAGTGTATTCAGGCAGAGTTCCAGGCCCAGCCAATAATTCAAAACTCTCATGTAAATAAAGCTTAGGGCAATGTGGGACAAACAGGCAAGACAACACTTGCAATAATGTAGGTACTGTCCCTAGAGACAATGTCACTACTCACAGCATCTGTGAATGAACATTAGTAAAGTCTGGGAAAACCAAGAGACTAAAAGCAGGGTTGAGGATATCTGCTTCAGTCACCAGGGATTGCAACAACTGGGAAAAGCAAAAGAAACTTTCATGGTGACAACGTTCTTCCAACTACCAGCAATCCAATTTCCCAAGACTGAGAGCCACCACAAAGCTCATCTTCCTACAGGACAGAGTAACTAATTACCAACTCTTCACAAAAYCCAGGAAAAGTTAGCTTGATATTAGCAGCAACAATTCCTAACACAAGGAACTGGCTCTGCTGTGGAGGCAAGCAAGACACAGTTAAGCCTGAGTGGAACTGGCACCTCATTAAGGTGAAGTAGTAACAACAATGAGCCCATGTCATTTATTTTCCAGTTTTGTCTGTCAGCAATTTTTCTAATTACTGAAGCACCTTAAAGCATGATGTGAGCTCTACTGACTGGGCAGACATAAACAAAGCTTGCCTTTCATATACTGCCTGAAAGAATATACATTTGTTTACCTTGCCTGTCTGGAAAAGGTCTCCAGTTACCTGTAAAAGTTGAAAACAGGTGAGCTTTCTGAGGCCCAGCATGGGAAAGTCTAAGTCATTCCTAGCAAGYTCTTTTCAGTTCTTCTCACCTGATAAATTGTGATTTCCTGCATATATAGAATAGTRTGCTATAAACACAGAGAGCTGCCTTCTTGTTTCTCTACTCTTAACAAGAAACTGGGGGAGATCATGGGTGGGAAAAACAAAAACTCAAATAAACGTCCGTTTCAAGAAAGTACACAACCACAACCACTAGTCAGTTTAAGAACTTGAATGTAACTTGGTTATTTGGGCCACTTASCACATCAGACAAGTGTTTCACTGAGAAGTTGATCACAAAGGCATCTGCAAGGCTTGCTTTCTACTTACTACTTTTCTTAGAGAGTTTTATTTGAAACACTATTAGTAAGAAAAGATTATTACACATCATCAACTACCTAACCTATCTCAAAGTAAGTGGCCTTTCAATTATTTTCAGAATTTTGAGACAAAAATATGAACAGGAGCCTTTGTATATTACTGTCATTTATGTAACAGATATRTGTATTCACAAATATTCAAAAATGACACAAAAGATTCACTAACCCAAGACCTGGAATTGCAAAGATCTGTGGGCCAGGTCTGAGTCACATATAAGATACATCACCAAAATTCTCATCAGCTAATCTCAAGGTGATTTATATGTAAATAATATTTTAAAAACCCATAATTTATTCACACAATGGATATTAGAATGCCAAATT